GCCCGGCCGGCGCCCAGGGGCACCCGCGGCCCCCACCGCCACCAACAGGAAGAACGCTAAGGGTGGCGCGCGGTCCTGGGGGGTGCCTCCTGGGCGTTTACCCCGTCCTCGGCGCTGGTAAGCGCGTAACTCGGTAACGGTGGTGATAGTTAAGAGTATCATGATAATAATAGTAATGAAAGTAATAATACCCGCAGCAAAACATAAAGGAACACTATATATATATATATATATATATATATATACACACACACACACACACACATACATGCATATATATGTATATATACATCTATGGATACAGGCATAGATGCATCTATGTATCTATACATATACGTATATACACACATATATGAATTTTAAAAAATTTTATATATATAAGATTTTTATATATATTTATATTTATATATATGTATACAATTATTGGCAAGTTAGCTAACATACCACATATACAGTGTGCTCTAGGCTTTGGGAGTAGATTCCCATGAGTCACCACTTACATCCAGCACCCGCTGCTCATCCCAAGCAGGGTCCTCCTCGATGCCCATCACCCACTTCCCCCTCTCCCCCACCAATCCTCAGTTTGTTCTCCGTATTTCAGAGCCTCTTATGGTTTGACTCCCTCTCAGTTCGTATCCGGTTTTTGTTTTTTTTTTTCCTTCCCCTCCCGCATGGTCTCCTGCTAAGTTTCTCAAGTTCCACACATAAGTGCAAACGTCTATCTGTCTTTCTCTTACTGACTTATCGCGCTTAGCAGAATACCCTCCGGTTCCATCCACGTTGCGCAAATGGCAAGATCTCATTCTTTTTCTTTGCTGAGTAATATTCCCTTGTAGATTATACACCACATCCTCTTTAGCCATTCATCTGTTGATGGACATTCGGGCTCCTTCCATACTGTGGCTCTTGTCGATAGCGCTGCTATAAACACGGGGGTGCATGCGCCCCCGTGAATGAGCACCCCTGTATCCTCTGGGTGTATTTGCAAATGACATATCAGATAAAGGGCTAGTATCCAAATTCTATAAAGAACTTACCCAAGCTCAACACCCAAGAAACAAATAACCCAGGGAAGAAATGGGCAGAAGACATGCATAGACACTTTTCCAAAGAAGACATCCGCATGGCCAGCAGGCACGTGAAAAGATGCTCAACGCCACTCCTCATCAGGGAAACACAAATAAAAACCACATTGAGATGCCACCTCACGCGGGTCAGAGTGGCTAAAATTAACAGCTCAGGCAACAACAGATGCTGGCGAGGACGCGGAGAAAGGGGATCTCTTCTGCACTCCTGGTGGAAATGCAAAGTGGTGCGGCCACTCTGGAAAACGGTGAGGAGGTTCCTCAAAAGACTAAAAATAGAGCTACCCTATGACCCAGCAACAGCACTACGAGGAATTTATCCAAAAAGGAACACTTCGATGCTACCATGGGCAAGGCACTGTGTTCAGGACTTTTAAGTCTATAGCTAACTGAGTAGAAATAGCAATCGTCCTCCGGGGATTTGGCAGCAAAAACCTCCCAAAAACCAAAAACCAAAACAAAACAAAAAAAACCCCGAAGAACAAAGATTTAAAAAAAAAAAAAAAGAAGAAGAAATAGCAACCGTTGTGTTTTTTATCAACGGTAACCAGAAATAACATTTTTTTTTGCCTCACACTTGCTGTGTGTGCACATACTATTCAAAATATTTCAAAGGATAGTGACACAAATTTGGACCGAGTGCTCTATGGGCATCATGACACCCTGCCTTAAAACTCTTCAAAGATGTCCCCAAATGAAAGCCAGAGTCATCTCCACAGCCCACAAGGCCCTGCAGGACCTGCCCCGTCCCCTCCCTGCCTTTCCCTCCTCCCTCTCTCCCCCTTGCCCATTTTGCTCCAGCCACGTGGGCCTCCTGGCTGTTCCTCCCACACGCCAGGCCCAGTGCTGCCCCAGGGCCTTTGCACAGGCTGTGCCCTCTGTCTGGCGTGCCCTCTCCCAGATCGTGCATGGCTCACTCTTTCATTCCTCATCACCTTCTCTCTCCACCTTATCTAAAGTCATTCGGCCCCCGTCACACGCTTCCTCAGGCTTGCTTTTTCCTCCATAGCATTTACACCCATTTTAACTTAATTCTAATATGCTATATATTTAATTGTTTATTAATAAACCACATAGCTCTCTCCAGGTGCCAGGCTCTGTGCTAGGTGTTCGACATGTACAAACTCATTTAATCCACACAACAACCCCTTGGGTGGGTACACATAAACAGATTCTCACAGACTGTAGTCAGAGTCAGTAGACGACGTGACTCTTGACCTCGGGGTTGTGAGTTCGAGCCCCACGTCGGGTGTAGAGATGACTTCAAAATGAATTAGATAAATAAACTTAAAAAAAAAACACTTAGTGTAATGTTTAAAAGATCAAAATGCAAAAAGTACAAGGGACACGATATCAAAAATTTAAATAAAGGCAGAATTAGTATTCCTGAGTTTTCCCGTTGACTCAGCATGGCAGTGTTACTGATCCCTGATTTTAATTTTTAATTTATTGTATTTTTATTCATTTTAAATTTAAAATGTTATTTCAAAACCAAGACGGTATCAGTGACAATGTCACGCTGAGCCAAAGGAAAAAATCAGCAATACTGATTCTATTTAAAATGTCGACATTCGGGGCACCTGGATGGTTCAGTCGGTTAAGCGTCTGACTCTTGATTTCAGCTCAGGTCATAGTCTTGAGGTTTGTGGGATCGAGCCCCGTATCGGGCTCTGTACTGACAGCACGGAGCCTGCTTGGGATTCTCTCTCTCTCTCTCTCTCTCTCTCTCTCTCTCTCTCTCTCCCTCCCTTCCTCTCTGCCCCTCCCGCGCACGCTCTCTCTCTCTCAAAATAAATCATTAAAAAATAAAATAAAATGTTGACATTCTGTTCGTTATGGATTTGTTGTTCATCAGTGTTGATTTTTAAAATTGCATGAAAAGAATCCCTATCTTGATGACTGAGTTTCCTGCACCCCCTTAAACTGCTCCGTAGGTGAGCTCACCCCGGTCCCTCCCTGCACAACCAACCCTCAGAGCAGCCGTAAGAGGGAAGTGATGTTTCTATACTCACTTGGCACAGGGGAAACTGAGGCTCAGAGAGGTCGAGTCGCTGGTGCAAGGCCACGCACAAAGAGCGCCGGGATTTGAACCCAGCCGGCCGACCCTGGAGCCCGCAACTTCCCACGACCCCGCACCGTCTTCCTCCAGCTACAGGTGGCTAAGCCTCAAGTTCCTTATTTGCCAAGTGACACCCCAGAGCGAACGGGGTGAAGTCCCTGGTGTGGATTCAGCGAGCTCATGGGTGAGGCTCCGTACAGGGTCTGGGACATTCCCCCCCCCCCCCCCCCCCCAATAAACGGCCGTTGTCAGGACTATTGCTGCCAGGGACCTGCCCGCCCCCAGACTGGAGCAGGACATCAGGCTTGGCTAGGAAGCGGGGGTGGGAGGGGTCACGGGTCCTCTTACAGCCTCCAGCCCTTGGTCCTGCCCAGCACCCCCCCCCCCCCGTTCCCGCTCAGCCCCAGGATGGGCTCGTGGAGCCGAGCTGGAGGCAGGCACCGTCTCCATGGAGATCTGAGCCTGATGCCCGGAGCCCTGTGGGCCTCTGATGTGCCAGGAGAGTGGGGAAAGAACAGAAATTAAACCCAGCAGACCCCCCCCCCCCCGGGAGCCAGAGATGCCTTTTCCTCACTCTCTTACTTCTACCCCAAACAAAGGGGTGGGGAAGGCGCTAGAGAGAGCCCAGCCCCGCTCCAGACTGACCCTGGGGACGGTAAACCCAGCATCCCACCGTCTGAACGATACCCGTCCCTGGAGCTCATTCCCTGACCCGGGTGGGGTCAGAAAGCAGCCGGTGCACCTGGAAACATCTGGAGCCCACACGGCCGATGCTCCAATTTGGGAGACCTGGTCACAATCAGCATCCTACCCGTTGGGACGGTACTGAAGAAGTGGGGGTGGGGGGGGGCGGCGGGAGCAGAGCCCGGGGTGGGGGGGGGGGGGGGGGGTGGGGGGGAGGCTTCCAGCAAGTCCCTTGGCTCCCCGGTCTTGGGGGCCCGTGCCTGCCAAGACAGGTGTCAGAATGTCCTCATCATGGCACCGTGTGGACCGACATGCCGTGGACACCTGGGTGGCCTCCGCCTCCCGGCCGTTGTGAATCCTCTGCTGGGAACAGGGGTGTGCAAAGCATCCGTTCACGGCCCAGCAATCGGCTCTTTGGGGTATAAACCCGGAAGCTGAATCGAGGGGTCAGATGGCGACTCTATCTTTAACGTTGTGAGGACCCGCCAGACTTTTCCACCGCGGCTGCCTCGTCTCATATTCCCCCAGCCGGGAGCGAGGGCTCCAATCTCCCCACATCCTCGCTGACACCTGTTATTCTCTTAGTTCCTCTCTTTTTTTTTTTAAGTAGTCGCCACCCTGGTGGGTGTGAGATGCACAAACACTATTTACGTTACATTTTCCTTGTTATCAGTCACCTCTTGAAAAAAAAAAAAACAACCTTAAATAAATTTATCTTAAAGGCAAATTTACATTGTTGCCTTTGAAAGGAACAAGGTTCAGGGGC